ATATTTAAAATAAATAATTTATTAATATTTTTTATTAATTACAATTTTATTTTTATTTATAAATTTGTTTTTTTTTTTAAACTAATAACTTGATAAATAGTAAAATACTTAACAATCTCAATAGTGTAAAGCTACTTTTCTATTTTGAATTCATATACAAATTTATGTTATGCTAGCTAACTATATACTAATATGGTCTTAACATTTTTGCCTTGATTTTTATCTTTATATACATCTAACAAATATTGATTTGATAGATTCCTTTATACATTGCCTATATAGTGAATTCCATATTTCAATTTGTTGATGCTTGTATATTCATAGCACTGATAAATCCCAACATGAATTGCTAAAATTGATCAGAATAAAAACTGTTTTTTTATTGAATATACCTGTCCTTTAAGTTCGACATCTCATCTTTTATAGTTGTATTCTTTATTGGTGATTAACTTGCATAAAAGTATGATGCTAAAATGCACAAATTTGTGGATGCTTGGTATTAAGCATAGAAAAGTTCACATTGATATATGACTTATCTTAGTAAGATGACTATGCAGAGATATTATTGATGGGTGAATTATTAATATATTTTTGGATATTGGGCTATAGTAATAGTTATTGTTAGCTACTTCTGCTAAATAATGCCAAGAGATTTGAAAATAACAAAGTTCGATTTAAGTAATTGAGATTGTACATAATTTTCACTACATAATTTTTATTTAGTTGTGTTAATCATTGAAGTTGAACTCTTAAAAACATAGGTTTGTATTACATATTTCTAGTTTACTTTAATAGTAAATAACAATAGATTGAGATAATTGTCTAACAAATTATTATATGTTTTTCTTGAATAACTAATATAATAAGAAAGTCAACTTCATAATGGATGAATTTTTAAATTTTGAGTTTGCACTTACTTTTTAATAATTTGAATAATTTTTTGGTAATGTTGACTAGTTCTTCTTTTGCATCACTTTGTCACATTCATTACTATTGCATGTTGAATTTTTTGTTGAATGTTGTGCACCTTTGCTTCAAGTTGCTTGGCTATTTAATTTAGACACAAATGCGTAAATTAGGTTCAATATAGTCAGTTAAAAGTTTTTTTTCAATAAGTGCAGTAAACAAAACTTCTGAGATATCTGTTATTCAACTAGTGTATTGTATATCATTAAATTTTTTTAAAATGAAATGGTTCTGTAATAAAGAATAATACTATGTATTAAAGCTTTTACAAGTTTTGAGACAGTCAGAAAAAAGAAAGTCAAATAAACTAATTCAAATCTTTAAAAATTTTCTTATATACATGCATTCGATGATAGTACAAATCTAAAAGCATAATGAAATTTGTGTAATATAACTTTAAAGTTAATACTGTAATACAGTTAATACCAGTACTAAACTAGTATTTTAGTGATAGACTTTCATTAAATTAACCAATCATATTATTTTAATTATATTACATATTAGATGTTAGTTAACTTGTAACATTGCATAAATATACGATGCACAATTGTCCTGAACCAGGCTGTAATAGATACTTTAATTGTCATTCTTCTGTGTGCAATCATTTAAAAATCTATAATAATACAAATGGAGACCTTCTTTGAGAAATTGTTATAGCAAAAGACAGTAATAACATATTAAGGAAGGAACAATTTATTCAATAGGAAGATAAAATTAATAACCAATAGAATGATAATCAGCTAGATGAAATAGATGGGTTTTCATTTAATAATAGTAAAAATATTGAACCAGAAATAGAAAACAATATAATAGATGAAATAACAAATAGGTTAGAATTTAGTTATAGTGAAGAAATAAATAATGAAGATAATAAAATGAACTATGAAATAGATAAAGATGTTGAAGTAGATAAAATAGAAGAAACAAACAGACTAAAAATTAGTTATAGTAAAGAAATAAACAATAAAACTAATGAAATAGATGAAGCAAATAATGATGATATTAAGATAGATGAAATAAATAATAAAGATGCTATAGATGAGATAGGTGAACCAGAGGTATGTAAGTACTGTATAGTATGTACATACATTATACATACATAGTACATATATATATATTAATATATATTTTTAAGGGTTTTAAGTTTTATTATATAACTTAATAATTACAAAAATTATATACATATGTACATATATAGATGGACATTATAGAGTGTTGATTGTTTAAGGTTAAGTTACCATTAGTTTTTAAGTCCCTTAATGTTGAGTCAGCAAATAGTGAGGATATGCCAAATTTTCCAAGTAAAGAATTCAGTGACTTTATGAAGTTGGTTATTAAATAGAATTGTCAGATTCATGTGTGAGTGAAATACTTTGTTTTTCAAAAAAAATAGCATATAATAATATTATTTTACTTACCTCAATACAACAAGGGAAACAGTGTTTAGACAAAATTATGGTGCAACATATTTCTTTTAAGAAAGTACCTATAGTAGAATATGAAGGTGAAATATACTATCTTAATTACTGTCCAATTTTTGATGCTATTAAAGAATTGTTAAGCAATAAAGATATACTTAATCATTGTGTTTTTGAGTTTACACCATTGTACTACCAAGGGCAATGAATATATTATGAACAATTTAATGGAAAATGATAGGAAAAGGCAAAAAAAACAATTCCTCATGATGCAAGCATTTTATCAATAATATTATATTTCGATGCTAATATATGCAACCAACTAGGAAAATCAAATGAACATCCAGTATATTTGACATTAGGCAATATTTTTAGTTGGTGCAGAAACAAACCTGACACTAAAGCTCTTTTGGCTTATCTTCCAATCTTAAAATCAAAAACAACTACTCAAAAAAAATTAAGTAATTTTTTATTTGCAAAATGGTCTGTGTATTAACATTCTTTGGATGTAATTTTAAAGCTACTGCTTAATTATAAAGACAATGGGTTTGATCTTCAAACAAATAATGGTGATTTATGATGCTACCCATTTGTTTCAGTCTTTTTAGGTGACCTTTCAAAACATTTACTACTAACATTAACATATAATGCTTTCAATTATAAATGTCCATGTCACAAATGCTTGGTATCATTTAATGATATGAATAATATTAAGTTAAATGTAGATCAAATTAATTTAAGAACCTCAGAAACAATGCAAAACATTA